TGCTGGATTACGCATGATGCCAGATGTGCTCGTCATAATCGGGTTGCAAGGGAACTTACAAAACGTCTCCGTCGACTGGGGTACACCGTCTTCGAGGAGTTGAGAGCCCCTACTTCTAAGTCGTTCATCAAACCTGACCTAATCGCTGTTCGAGATCGCCGTGCAACTGTAATAGACGTCAGCACAGTCTCGGATGGGCGTTAGTGTGGAATGAGAAGAAGCAGAAATATGGTGCTGATGAACATTCCCTCGCCATAATCTCAGCCCTACATGCCATCGGTTGTGATATTGACTTTTTGGTTCACCAACCGATGATCATCTCTTATCGAGGAATCTGCTTTCCTCAATCCGCTAAGGCTGTTATTGGACTGGGACTTCCTAAGGTCGCAGTCAGTGACTTGTGTTTGCCTGCGATTGTGGGCTCTCTGCGTACCTATGACCCTTTTATGCGTGGCACATGGCGTTGAAGGTACATTTTTGCCATTTAATCTCACACCAGACCCCGTAATACGGTCACTTTGTGCCTGACGTGCGAGTCTTGACTGTGCTAGCGCACACTGCGCCTTGAAGAGCATTCACCATTGTTTGTCCTTTCTTTGGTTGTTAGTCTTTAGACGCCTGTTCCCATACCAAAATCATACTTTGCTTTGGGATTCACCTCATCAGACTGGCACTGCCCTTGGCATGATCTCGAATGAGACGTTTCTCTCTTTTCTCCCATATTCTTACTCTTTCCATGCTCTTCAAAAATAAATGATAATAAAGCTTCCTTGCAAGAATCGTCATCCAAGGAGTCCATTCTCTGCAGTGTCTTCGTTGCTTGCTTGTTAAATTGTCTTGCTATTCTGATCACAGATACGTCATTTATTATTTTGGCTTAATGATGTCCCCTGGCTGCATTATCACTGTAAACTGTAGCTATGCTTTTGTTGGGCAAAGGAAGCAAATGTCAATTTTTCTAGATCCAAATAGAGATCTTCATTTGGCCACCAGTTTTTTGCACCTGTAAACCACTGAAACAGCAGTAACTGGGAAGAAAACGGCATCTGCATGACATGGTGCTCAGGGACTCATTACTGGAAACGCAGGATAATTCGACAAGAAATGTGACCTACTGCGACGATTTCTATCCATCCCACCAATAAGAATTTATTACGCAACAGGATGCAGTAGGAGTATGTGCTCTTACCGGCTTGGCCTAATGGAGTAAGTTTTTTGACAGCATGGCGCTCATTCTCCGTTATTAGGGCACTGTAGTGATTACAATAAATTGCGTGTGCACTGAATTTATGTTTTATCCTGCCTGTTTAACCGTTGAGGTAAACGTGTACCTTTGGCAAGCAATCCTCCATTGTTATATTGGTATGCTATGACGCGTTGCTGACAGCTAGACTGTTGACGTCCCTGACAGTTTCCACTGATCAACATGAGGACGCTTGTCAGTGGTGTGCTGACTTACCGGCAGTTATGGAGACATTTAAGACGCGACCGCGTTTGCAATAGTTAAGGGATGTTAGAACCTCGATGATTCTGTCAAACCATCAACAACTTAATTTGGAACTAGCTACAGTAAAATGGTAGCTCAAAGTGCAATAGTAAGGTTGTAGCCAATGCATATAGGAGTGGCATGTCATGCTGATCCACTATTCCTGTGTGCATCTCTCGGGTTAAGTAATCGCACTAAACCCTTGAAACTGCTCACCAAAGTAGTCCGGTCGAATTGGGAATTTATTCAGGCATAACATTAAGGATTAGATTTTTTCAGAACGTGGCGAACTATTACCGGCTTACTTTAAATTCAATGACAGCGAGCCAGGTTAACTTAACATTAGGTACATAGCACACATCTGAATGCTCCAAAGATTACCAGTTGCCGAAAGGCCCTGGAAAGCACTATATTTCAACTAGGCTATGTATATTTCTGTCCCAGAAGTTCATAGTTATGAAAGCACACATTGTAGAATTTAAGCCCTTCTATTTCTTTGTTAGGCGGAAGCTTTATTATATTAGCACACAGGTCAAGTGTTTTCATTGACGGTACTTTTGTACTAAATACCCAGCGCTTGGAAACGTGTCCATAAAATCCGGAAAAAATTTCCTGCCATCTGATTCCTGTAGGCTGACTTCGATCAATAAAATAATTATAACAATCGTTATAGTGAACATCATAAGCACATAATTCGTGATTGAGTATCAAACCTGGGCTATGTACACCACAATTAAATCAGCGCTTCTTCACGTGCAGTTTAACTTACTTATCGGGCCTGCTCCGTTCCGGGCCCACTAAAGAAATTACCCAACGTATGTGGTTCGAGGGATTTTCATAAGCACTAATTTACTTGGGTTCATTGTAAAAGGCTGATTTCAAGCGGCATTAAAACAGATAAAAATAGCATATTGCGATAAACCAGGTCCACTTAATGATACATATATTTGGATCAAAAGGAAAATCCTGTAGAGAGCGAGTATTGCTGAATACACCCTATTTAATGACACCTCAGAATGTTACATGCAATATATTTTTGATTAGGAACCCTGAAAAAGACAACAACACACTTGTTTTTCTGTGATAATCTGATATATCGGAGGCAGCAAAAAATCTTAGCTATATCATCTGATAGACATTTTCCCTATTTTTTTACGTGACGAAACAAGCGATATTAAGTGCTGTCTTGTCATACTTCCGAAAAGTGCAGAATCTACGTAAACGGACGTGGTCATAGTCGCTTCCTCAGACAAACCAAAAAAATAAACTCACATTGACTTTCATACTTGAGATAGAGAAGCAGCTCAAAATAGTTGAGTATCAAGACACATTCAGAAATCTCCGCAAATGTTAGTGGAAATTCAACACTCCTCACGAAATGCTGGCTTTTCGGTGTCCTTTCACCTTTTTCTACATTTTTTCGGTGGCGAGTTGATTGCTACGCAAAAAACGATCCCGTTCTCCCCTACCCGCAATTCGAATGTTTGTATCGATGACGTGAAGACATAACTATTGATTGTGAGCTCCCTGTTTGAGAAAACAGAACGTCTACACTGAAGTGACTCCAGACGGTATCCCACAAAAAACAGAGTTGGGATCCTCCCATATTCAAGCAAAAAAGCATTGCTTACTTCTCCTAATTTAGAGAAATTAGTAACTTCCAGGAAATGCACGCAAAATGCCGGGCGATCTCCTAGTGCCAGCCTAGTGTCCCAACCATCAAATTTAAATGCTCATTTTCTGGACACTAACCGAGCTAACCAGAGATAATTTGATGCAACTAGTTCAGTGAATCTAATTGTAGGAGCTGTTGATATTTGTGATAATAATCCTAATCACCCTTAAGAACGCTCTACACACAACGTAAAATTAAAAAACAGAGGGATGAATGAATGTTCAATCATAACGCTGTTTCAAAAAATGTGAATAATCAGAACGCACCCCGTTTGGGGGATTCACAATCGAGATAAAATAACTTGCACTATACAACTGCAACAGTTAATTAGTCTAGAGACTTGAAGTCTTCTAAACAACAAGCCAAAAGTATTGCCGCCCAGTGTGTCCAAAAGTGTCACACTTTTGGATGGTTTTTTATAGCCCCAGAACTGAAGTAATATTCAGGTATCACCGTATGTATTGATTACTGTTTATTTGTTTTCATTATCACACAGTTAACATCCGAAATTCATTCCTAAGAGATTTCAGCCCATTACAAAATGCCGAGACGTATCCCCTTCGATGTTGCCATTTTGTTCCTGTTAGAGTACCCATGGAGTACATACCTAATCAATCTTTCTGAAAATCATAATCTAAGAATATTATTATGTTCATCCTGGGTGGATGATCACCATTTTGACAGCCTTGCAAGAAGACAGCATCGTTTTTGGATCATGAAGTCCCAATCGCGTGACTAATTCCTGACCGTTTGTTAAACGAATTCTCGCTCAGTCGAACCACATGACTTGTGCGACCTCCTCCATCTAAATACGGCGAAGATTTCGAAGTTTTCTGATTTTTCTGTCGCTCGAAAAGCTAAATTCCTGGTTGCTCTATTGCATATAGACACGTTGAAACCACACTTCTAGCGGGCCACACGTTGCAAGACGACGTGGTGTCCAACTATTAAACTAACCATTGTCCGCTCCGGTATCCCATAAGATGCACAACCGATGTAAGGTAACTGTAGTTTTTTATAAGCTGCACGGCATGCAGATGTCTAACCTATAGCGTTAAATCTCATCCTAATTTAAAGAAAAATTCTGCATAACCTACCTAGCCCTTCATTAATGACGCTCATTTTTCGCGTACTCAGCCAAACGTTGCTCAAAGTGTTGTGTCTTTTCTCGTCCTTCATAAACTCTTCCACATTCATGATTTCGTCACCGCTGGTTTTCAGTTTAGTTTCCTGCTTAACTAGGCATTCTCAGCATTATTTAGCCCCCAGCCGACATACCAATATACCGAGTTCTGTGCGTTTACTTTACTAAACCCGATCACTAAAGAATTATCCAAATTTGGCCCTTCGTGTTTGTTATACATATCGATAAGCTGCAAAACAATAGAGAAAGCAACTGTAAATGTCCAGCACACACTAATGATACTTTGGGTTGGCGAAATGAGTTGTAAGACGGGTGCGACGAATTTCCGGATACGCACAATCTGAGCGATATTGATCGCAGCCCCTGGCCAGCGAGACAGCCAGCTTGCGGCGCCCGACGAACCGTCGCGGGTCAGCAAGCCTTTTATGATATTACAGCGTTCAGTCAGAAGAACCATTTCGGAGTTCTTTACTATTAAACTAGTTGCCCTGCTTCTTGAAATTCTCGAGATGTTCTGGTGTGAAATATGTTTTACTCTTTACGGGCTCGGTTATGGATCTTACCATCACCAGTTTCAGTCGGTTGATATCGGTCCTCTACCGCTGCTGTTGAATCAATCGTGTTCTGATTTATCATCTATTCGTTTTGTATATGTATGCCATCGAAGACAGTTTTGTTTACGCTGCCTTATACGCGATAGTACTATGTGGCTTCTTGGTAGTAATTAAATGTTATCTACTGACCTTCAGACACTCGGTTGAAAGACAGCGGACGTGACTTTATGTATACAACCAGTGGATCGGAAACCCATAACTAAAATAACAACAACAACTAGAACAACACACGTGTCCTGTGTGACGACGGCAGGTAAAACAACACTCATGGAAAACTTCACACTCTCGTACCGTCGCTGCCACACAAAATAATATGTGATCCGTTGTCCACCTATAGTTGACCTTGACCGCTATTAAGAACGAGGGCGTTTTGATATGCGTTTACAGGCAAACGCAATCATTGGCTGTCTCACATGTATCGAGCTGAAGTTGAAAAATAATGCTGTTCACCATGTGGTGCATCGAAAATGGTGCAGTATAAATTCGTCTGCCGCGAATGACTGCATACTGTCACTTTGGATTAAAGCATGTCCCCATCCAACGCTGAAATGCAATACAGAAAAAACAGTGAAACAGGCAAGGTGTTTGTGGTAGGAGTTGACAAAACTGGAACTTCTTTCGTGAAAACACTTCTGCAAACTCTGTACCTACAGCCTTGCCTACACTCCAGTGATTTATCAGCTGCCAGAACTGGAATTCTCTCAGAATGGACTGCTCTGGCAGAAGAATCAGACAAACTTGCTCGTCAAAAGAAATTGGGGAGGTTACTTGAAAACTATAGATTTGCGGCTGGTTTTCCAGCTGTAGCATATTTCGACGACCTATTAGAAATGTATCCAAGCGCAAAGGTACGTTTGCGGCTGTTTTATATATGGATAATAAAACTGTTTAAGACTTTTTGAACACATTTGACGCCCGTTTCACACCTTCTTCATTAGACAAGTAGCAAATGGTACACTAGTCCACGTAAAAGTTAAACACGGTGGCGATTCTTGAAGCGATGGACAGTAAAGTTGTAATTCTACAGAGCACGAGTTATCTCAGTGGTTAAAGCACGAATTTTCTGGCCTGTGTTTTAACCCACCCAAGATATCTCGCCTTTTTCTGTCTAAGCTTGAGTAAACTGGCCCAGACCACGAGCCTCCTTGGGGGTAGATGTTGGCTATGCACCAAAACGGCATCACAGGTAGATAGATTTGCTAATAGTTTCGCAGCGCTAGCCTACAATCTAATTTATTTACCAGAATATTTCGTTAGCTAGCAAATAGAATAATCGCAATGTTATACTGTTTCGCAGCCCACTTGCTTTGTCAAGTTGAGCAGTAGTCATACGATGTCAACACAGGCTGTTTTCCTGAGCATCCCTTTCTAGCTCTTGTCATACGAGAAGCCGTAATCCTCATTGAACTTGTTTGCTGGTTAAAAATACAGCATACTGGTTGGAAAGTCTGGATTCTGATCTGCTTATGTTTTGTTCCTGTACATCTGATCTAAGATCCCTGACTATGCCAATCGGTCGGCTGGCGTATTGTCAAGAGGATAAAAGCACGTAAATATTTGCTGGTACGTCAAACCCCTAAAGCCACAAATCCCACTCTGATAGTCTTAATGAAGACGCGGCGATTCTGTGGCCCAGCGTTATGTGGTCTTATCGTGTCCTTTCTATGACAATCAGACTGCGTTTGACAGTGCCAGATATTAAGCACACTTTGCTTGGATAAGCTGGCGAATACCTCTATGGCATTTGACTTCCTTTTCCTCCTTCCTTGACTTTTCTTTCACAAGAAAAGTGGAGGTGCAGTGTGCGGGTTTATGTATCTAGTTTCATTTTATGGAGACACATCAACTACTGAACTAGATATCGTTGTCACTTGATTCTACTAGGCTGTTTCATCAAATTTATTTATTGTATATACCACGAATTAGACAAACTTGGAGTTACACAGTATACGACCTGGCAGAAATATATGGTCTCCATTTCTGTGTTCATCTTCGGTTCTTGTGATGCATCCATACAGATTCGTGACAGGGTTTAGAAGTAGTAAACGCTTTGCGCGAGAAATTGCCACTAGCTACCTCGTTTGGAGTAATAAATGAGGCAAACAAGCGGGCCGCTGCATATGCTGAAACGAAAAGCTGACGTGTACACTTTTTACAAGGTTTAAACCTTTGGCATAGACTCCTAATTGGTGGCATTTGTTAATGAATGCAACAGTGACCAATCAAAAAACGCAACAATGCACGGCGAGCGATTCAGTGAACAAGATGGCATTGTTCGCATTCAGGCGGTCGTGGCTTTGTACGTTATACGGGAAATAGCTTCGAGTCCTGAGCAGTTTTTCCCTGCTGCGTTACGCTCTTTGCTGGAGACAAAGTTCAACTCACTATTTCAATAGTGCTCAAAGGAAAGAAGCCTGGATGTTAGAACTTGGTACATAGTTGGATACACCGTATCAAGCGACTGTTACTTTACTGGAATGGAATAGAAATAAAATTAAACAATATGTAGTAAAAACGATGCTTAAAAACGATATTTTCCTCTCAGATGGCTGTTGCACCAAGTGCATTAGGTGAAACCCTGTCACCATTCGCGTACACACAAATAAATTACCGACAAATAAATTACCGACTTGATTACCACACCTTTGAGTTCTGGACTTAACTCCCAATGCTCCCAATGGTTAGCCTGCCTTGGGAATTCTTCAGTGAGTGAAGTCTTAGTATAGCCCACGTTCCAAGTTGACGTAAAAGGCCAATCCACAACGGCAGTCTTTTTGAGCACATTATTTGTGCATGAATTATTTTTGAAGAGTGGATTCAAGATGACGAAATTTTACAGCTCTACTAATACCAATCCAGTGTGACATATAATACCATATCTGGTTATGAGTGGTTGATTGTTTGTAGTTCCTCCGGGACCTAACTTACTAAGAAAATGGGATCGGTTCACATCCGTCGATTCTCCAACATCTTTATTTGTCGTTAGCTTCCGCTTGAGGTTCACTGATACTGATTAGAATTCCATACTAAACATGTGTCACCCACTGAGAGACATCGAAGAGACATCAGCTGAAAAACCGCATTCTCCTCTGCATTCGGTCTGCTGTGGTAAGGCTTCTTCCATTGAAATGCGCCTAGGTAGAGATTCATCACTAACCGATATGCCGCTCTGGTAAGGGGCAGTCTAATGCAGTAACTCAGCTGGCAGTCATTCCTAATGGGCCAATTCCATCTAGCCGCAATACCATATTAGTTACTATGCTATATATTTGAAGAATTTTAATCACATTACCATCGTTACTTTGAGCTCTTCAAAATTACGCATCTGTGGTAACACGGACAAAGAACTGTAGTAATGTTCTTCTTGTTTATGATGTTCACTGGTTGCCCAGAAACACGATGCACCACAAAAGTGTTATAATGCATTCCAGTGTTTTAATTCCCCCATACACGCCAAACCAAAAACTACAACCTCGTCAAAAACCGTTTTTCTGTTGATAGTGGATTTTAATAGCTTGGGAACAGTTTTGGGAATTATGGGACTTATGACTGGCGATTCCACTTTATCCGTGTGCTGCGATAAGAAGTGTCATTGAGGTAGTCCCATGTTTTGTTTTACCCGCACACGAATTTGCTCCCCGTTTTCTAGTTTGACCACACTTATGTGAACAACCAACACTTTATTTTGACAAAAAAATGCAAGTAAATGTTGTTACTCTGAACATTCTATTTAACTACTTGGTTGATGTATGTATTTGGCCTAAAAAGTATAGCGGAGATGCATGGGACTAACTGAGATTGTCGTGCACTCCAACCTTTGACGGGGACCATTCAGAAGGGGCGGATCATTCAGACTCATGAAAGTCGGTCTTGTCTTTGTACTTTAAAACACAATTTTTGTTTAGTGTCCAGTTTGCGAGTAAAGCCATTCTGCCTAAAAATCGAGGGTTGATATGATGACCCTTTGTCAATAGATTCATTGAACTGCAGCGAATCTGATAAGATCACCTGAACAGGACACAGGGCATTTGAAGAAGGGTGAGTTTTGTGCTGAATCTCTGAATGTAGTCGTTGGTGTTTACTGTGGCCCATCTTATGTGTTCAACAAACAAGAGCGACCGATCGGGATATCGTGATCCACTAGTTTATTGGTTCTTCACACACAGTGGAACCAATATTTTGAGGTTCTTGGTGCTGTGTAAAATAATTACTTAAAAACCCTGATTCTGGTTTATCTAGCTTCATAACAAGGGTGGCAAGATGTTAAACCAGTGGGAGAATGTGAGCGTTCCAAAGGTATTTTCAACTTTATTTCAAATAAAAATGGAGTCAGTTCACAGTATTTTTCCTCGTTTTAAACTGTGCGCATTTGTTTGTGAATCCCTGTCTAAGCGCTGCTCACTAGATTATGCTATCTCCTGGCAAATAGTTCAAAGGTTATATCAGCTGAATAGGTTGGTCAGCTGACATGTGACCCACAAAGTAAACTTGAAGGCTTTAAATCAAAAGGTGGTGTGGCAGACCCACAAAAGGTCACGCGGTTGGTCAAAACACAGATGAAGTCATTCATGTCGGCCTACGCTTATATAACTCCAGATGATCTACCTTAAAGTGTGCTCCCCAGGACGTCCAATATACTAACATGTATACGTTCTGGATTGTTTCGATATGAATAGACTTGGCGACTGTTGAGTGCTGCGTATATTGAGTTGAACCGCTTTATATACTGCCTCAAGTCTGTTACCATTCATCACCATCATCATCATCGGCAGTATAAATTCAGTGTTCAACACTGACATTTTGCTTCCCGTTACCCGCCGCATCGTATCAAACCCTTCCGTCACACACAATGCGTCAAAATCACCGTTGATTAACTAAGCTGACTGAGTCTGTCCACGGGTACAGCCGGATTGCATGCCCAAAGGAAAATCCTCGCAAGTGCTTTGACATTGAATAGAAGACCACCCAATAGCAGGATGGAAACTGATATTTCTTATCCGAAAAAAGTAGCGGAAACAGAAACGACTTGTATCATGGAACTCTACCCCAAACCTGCAATGAAAAGCCGTAGAACTAGCTACAAAACTGACGTTCAAGCTAGTGTTAGTCGCACGATAAATTGAGAGAATGACAGACGGAACAATGTGAAGTGACACACTAATGATATTTAGCTCAACGGTTTCCACTGGTGGACATCTACAAATATTTAAGGTGGTAAGATGGCAGTTTACACCATCGTGGTTTGATTTGTTATTTTTCCTAGTGTTCGCCAACAAGGAAATCTCTTGATCCGTCCGCACTACAGTTCAATGTACATTCTTTTAGCCAAAATATAACATTACGAAGAGTTGCAAATACCTATAGCTCTAACGGTTCAAAATGCTTTCATGTAATAGTAAGCGGCTTCGTTTTGATATGGTGGCCTACCCTGCAGTTTGCCCGACCTCTTGCATTTGTGATGATCACCAATGCAGAACAAAAGGTAAACAGTATGCAATCAGTGTAGGTATAAAAGGCCTTGAAAGTCAGTTTGCACCACGAGACCTGTTATAGTTTTCCAGGCGGTTCCTAAAAAAATGGACATTCATCATTCAACGTTTACCTGTATGGGGTGTTGCCTAACCGAATAGCTTGTTGTTTATCGATGCCATTCAACAAACCTGTAAACAAATATTGAAGCATTCCGTCATGTGGAGGTTATGAGCCTCCGTACGCTGCACCAAAACATCTATAACGAGATCAAACTATCAGTTTTTATTGCCTGTACCCCAATAATCTGACTAGAGTGCGATCGCCAGAAATTATTTTCAAAAGCCTCGCTTATTTGTTGTGAACATCAGAGCAACTA